CCCCACCCCCGCTCTTTGTTTCAGATCGAGAATTTTTAGAAGAAAATGCACCCCTACTCCAACCCCAAATCTTCTTCCCTCATCTTTCAACTCACCATCATTAGTTTCTCCTCCTCTTCCATTGCAGGTTTCACGACATCCAATCAAGCCGACCAGAAGATGGCGAGACATCATCAAATCAGGCAGTGTGCTGTGACCTCCCGACCCCTCATGACTCCGGAACTGCAAAGCAGATGGGAATAATAAAGTGTAATTGGGACATGTCAGATAGCAAGCCAGGCTTCTCCCTCGTCCCTCATTGCGCCAACTCCAACTGTCCAAGCTTCGACTAATTATCAAAATGATCGCGCTGAGATTAGCTGCAGGATGTGATTCCTTTGTGTTCGTCAGAACTCTGTGAAAAATTTGAATGGAACTTGATGGTTTAGCTTTTAGCAGTACTTCTGCCTTAAACTGTAATTTCCGCGGGATTTTGGAAACAATATCGGGTTGGCATTACTGAGCCTAGCGTAATGGTGTGATGTAATGTGGTGGCATAAAAAAATATATAACAGCACTACACCTTTAAGAAGTACTCTTAGCAATAATTGCATATTTGCTTGTTGTTTTCAACGCTATGACGTAAATTGCACAGCATAATTCAAAGCTCGCGTATATGTGAAAACTGGTCTGTGCTGACCTTTAAGCCTTGATCTCTCAACTTTAAACTGCAACAACATAAGCCTTGTAATACTAAATAAACGTTACAATGTGGCAATCTACCAGAGACAACAGTGGTACTTCTGCCAACCGCCTCTTCGCTTATTTCATCTTCCTGTCTGGAATATTCCACGGCTCCAGAGTTCAAGGTCAGCTGTTTGACCTTGAGTACACCATTGACGAAGAACAGCCCGTCCCCTCCACCATAGGTCGTATCGGGAAAGACTCGAACATCTCCCAACTGTTGAGTAGTGACGACTATGGCAGTCTTCGGTACCGCCTTCTCATCTACCCGGACGCTGACAACAATCTATTCACAATAGGGAACACCACGGGGCTTCTCAAAACATCTGCTCGGATAGACAGAGAGACTCTGTGCCACTACGAGATCACGTGCAAGCTGACCCTGCGTGTGGCGGCTCAGACAGAGTCCGGTCAACAGTTCTACACCTTCAAGGTCACTATCTATGTCCGTGACACTAACGACAACCCTCCAGTTTTCCCACTGTCCTCTATGACGGTCAAAATCAATGAGGATGCGGCTGTGTCTACTTCGATACCCATTTCGTCCGCCTCAGATATTGACATAATGAATAACACGATACAGCGGTATATGCTCAAGACACCGAGTGATACCTTTGGATTGAAGGTGAGTAAAGATGCTCATAATATGTATAGAATTGTTTCTTTTTTCCCTTTACTTTTCTTACTGCTGTCCATATCGATTTCTCGATCTCTTTCTCC